TCAAAAAAAAAAAAAAAAAAAAAAAAACCCAGGGTTCAGGACATAAAAGCTGATGATAATACAAGTGTGTTGGAAAAAAGAGAAGGTGTGTCATTCAGTTAAGCTGATTGCACTCAGCAGGAGTCCCCACAGAGCCAGATCGACCTACATAGACCAATGGTGTCTATGGGAATGGGATCTAAGCTCACATACCTCAAGTGGGACTGAATTTCAATCTCCCTCCTTAGCTGATGTTCAACTCCTGCCTTTTGGAGCTGGGATTTAAATAAAACCTGAAAGGGGAAAAACAAAGGATGAATATCTAAAATTAATAACACAAAAGTGAAAGCCAAGACATACTCTGACAATATATCCATCTTTCCTCATTTCATCAACAAAAAATTAATACAATGGATTCCTTTTTTAAAATCTTTTTCACACTTAAAAATAGATAGTATTTAAGTCTATTTAAGATATAGCTGCTTTTACTCTTGCTTCTTAAATGGACTGTAACTGTTCTTCAAAGAACAAAATTTCAGGCCCAAAAAAATTTCTGCAACAGGTAAATCATATGACACCTTTCCCTTCCATTATATCTACTGTCTTTCCCAATTCAACCTAGTACATACTTTTAATGCCACAATAAATTTGCTTTTCTTCTCTCGAGCCAAGTAAACATTGCCAAATTTTCCTTTGCCAAGTGGGCGTCCTATGTCAAAGTCAGCAAGTGCCCACTTCTTTCCTCTGAAAAAAGACATGAAACTTTAGTTTAGAACAACAGACATTTTTTCCACAGTTTAAAAAATATCTTCATTTCAAATTATAATCTTTAAGAAGAAGAAGAATATATAAACAAATTCTATTGTAAAAATAAGTGAGAAAATTTACTTTGCTGATAGAACACAGGGAAGATGGAAACAACACAGGTTCAATAATATCAAGTTTTAAAATGGTCAAATTGAAAGGGGGGGAGGTCATGTGAATGAAATCAAAGGGGCTGAAGTCAGATTGAAAAAGAAATCAATAAAAATTTGTAAATATTATTTCATCGAGTACAAACTATTCCCTTTTTAACCATACAAGAACAAGACATGGCATCCTTTTGTTGATTAACCCCACATAACAATCCCACTCACCCCTCCTGTTTACTGGACTCCCCTTGGGCAGCTGGCTTCTGCTGTACATTCTGAGGCACAGTTCTCAGCACTCTCTTGGGTTCCATGTCAGGAACGGAATTTGTCTGGAGGAGAAGTTGGGAAGAGAATAAAAGACTGAACAAACATTCAAAAAGTATACAGTCAGGATACATCCAACACCACTTTGAAAATTTAATCAAATGTATTTATTTTGCATTTTCTATGAAATTTAAGGTTTGACTGTCATTGAATGTTTGGGTTATGTCAAAAACTATGCCCTTATCCCTCTATAACTGGACAAGACAGATTTAAAAGTGCATTACATTACATTACAGGATGTGCAATCAAACAGTCTACTTTTACTTAATTTTTTCAATAGTAAAAACGACTCTTCAAGCAGACTTCATCAAATCTCATTTTGTCCTAGCTCATGCAGCTGGCACGATCATGCTAACACGTGGTGACACTCTGCGCAGGATGTCTCCCAGGGCTTTGTCCCATTGTTGGTATCTCAGGTCAATGTGTTTGTTGCAAGTGGGCTGTTCAATCCCCTCCTGAGCAACCCACGCAAACTGTTACAATGTGACACTGACACCAGTGACAACCCAACCTCAGTTCACCCAAAAAAGGCCTTGTGATAAGGTCCAAACAATGTTCAACTACATCTCCATCTACTAGCAAGTTAATAAATAACCGGTCTAATCAAAACAGTAACAATTTTGCTTTTAATTCTGCCTGAATGAAAAGCAACTCATCAATATTCACCTTCACACTATGAGTTGTGTTCTCTTTCCCATCAAACTGAGGTCTAATCTGTAACAAGGATTTCAAAAAAATCATGCAAACAAACTTCCACATGCAGGTATAGCATCATGTTCATACAAGGCACAAAACGGACCAAATCTCATTTGGTCCTAGTAACAATTCTTTACTGTGAGTCCTCAAGTTAAGATAACCCCTCTCTTCTCGACACAAACAGGACCATTTCCAATACACATTTGATTCATCTGAGCATAGTGTGAACAGGTGCTATCAGTGATTAGTATTACTTTCACATGCAATTTACAACAATGTACTAAAATGGCAAACAGACATGAACAATTACCACGCAAATATCAGTTGTTCAAAAGTCTACTAGCAAAATGAACTAGTACAAGAGGGATATATAACAACACAGTTTTTGCCTGCCACAGTAGGGGTAGGGTGTTGATTTGAGACATCTGAAAACAATTCAAATATCAGGAGGATGTTGTTTATGACTATGAAACAAATATATGTACATTTCCTCACTTTGTGAATATACTGTTACATCTTCACAAAATAAGAGAATTGATTATCATTTTTTCAGGTACCATTTTGGTTCATGTTCTGTTTATTGCCACATATATAAAATTAGTTTAAAACCAACCAGTAAACAAAGGATGTGCAAAATCAACAGTGCTCAAAAATGTGATAATGTGAATTAATGTGAAGATATCTACAAAGCCAAACAAGCACACAGTAAGACTAACAGAAGTGTTGTCAAAAAATTGAAATTCTAATACATTTCTTCATCAATGACAATGTTGTTACAAAGAAAAAAACTGAACAAAAACAGATTCAATTGAAAAAGAAACAATACTCCAGACAGTGCAGCAGTGTTGGCAGCCCTTCAAATGCATTAAATCTAACAACATTTACATAATTTGCCTCTTTAGCCCCGATTCATCTAAATGTCAGTAATTAAAACCTACCGGCGCAGCCATGATCAAGCTTCTATAATTCTAGCAACCACACCACTCTTGAACTGCACTCAACATCAAACCCTGCCATTAAATAGATATCGTTAGTGCAAACAGTGATTGATTATTATATATACTTCTTTTCTTAAGTAAAGATAGGTGTGAAACAAACAGGGATACGATAATTTGATCTCAATCAGTTGAGCGAGCCGCCGGTCTCTGTTAAATCATTTAACATTTTAAAAAGCTCTCTTGTAAATCTGATTGATATGGAATTTTATTCAATATCAAAGTTGGATATTGAAACAATACATAAAAAAATTCAAAATTAAGCCACATAATTATAAACTGAAATTTCAGCCTATTCACGTTTTTTTCTCAATCCACCGACATTTCGATTACAAATTATATTCCAAAATCTACCTGTAAAACTGGCCTTTTGTACAATTTTAAATCAAGCACCAAATTATAAAATTATTTTTGAAATTAACTGATAAACATTTCATTTTACCCACCTCCAAGGGCTAAAGAAACATGTAGCTTGTCACTTTCACAGTTCTTATGCGATTTCGTCGTGCAACTTTTGAGAAGTTTAAATTTCGTGTCCAAGCTTTTCATTGGACAGCTTGGAGACGTCGTACTTCCTATTTATTTTCTTATGCTGGTTTCGATTGGCTATTGGTGCAGACCGAAAACGGAAGTGGGGAGCGTGGTGTAACCAAAACAATTCTATTTTGGTGCTGACCACTGCATATTATATAGAAATAATCGCTGACTGTTCAGCAATATTTACAACGTTGCTTCGATGTTTGGTCAATATAAGTGTCTGGATCGAAATATCCATATCATTTAGCTGAGAAACTTTGCAAAAACAACACAAAAATGCTTCATCCGCTCACTTTGAAGACCGCTCGAAGGCTGGAAGTTTTGGGAACAGAGAGGCCAAAACGACTGCAAGGTCTCCACAACTTTGTAAAACCCCTGACAAGAGTTACCTATTTTTCTCCTCTGGTGGACGTCTTGAACAGTATTGCCCATGAAAATGACGAAAAATCCCATGTTCTGGTACAACGGACCAACATAGAGATCAGTGACTTAATAACTGAAATACACCGTGCAGCAAAAGTAAAGGCAAAGAAGACAAATTCTAAGGTGGTGAAGATTGGTCTACCTTTGTCAGATATTCAGAAAACCCCACTTTCATCTGGTTTGAGAAAAAAGGATGTTTTTGATACAATTCACAAGATCAGCCAGTCATTGACAAACTTTTTCAACGAGGAAAGACATACCCAAGAAGTTGATTCGGTAACAATGTCCTCCACAAATAGAGTGCTGGATCAAGCAAAATTCAGTGACCTTTTTTCCTTAACCACAGATGTTCATGGAAGCTGGCACATCCTCAACAGTCTGTTTGAAAGTGGCATAATCGAGCTGAACAAAGACAACACGATAAAGAAGTACAATTTGCTGCCAGCTTCTGCTCTGGAAATCCTGAAGGTCATTGAGATGTGGAAGGAAAGTGATGTCCCCTTGGCTAGATTCAGCTTATTAAAATCAGAGGAGAGCCATTCTCAAGGTTTCATTCATCCTTTCAGTTCTGTGTTTAAAGATTACTTAAAATCAAGAATGAAAGAAACACCACCGCCTTTATATGGCTTTTATGGAATCACATGCCCAGCTGGTAACACATGTGTTTCTGTTTTCAATGCTGATCCATTGTATAATGTTAACATATGTCAGGTGTGTGATCAGATATTTGCTGACGGCACTCAGTTGGCCAGCCATGCCAAGGAACATCCAGGTTGTGTGGTTTTTGAATGTGGTAGATGTGACAGAATGTGTTGCGTTACAAATAGCCTTAACATCTCAAACCCTCCACCTGCTGCCAGCACTCCAGTAGGCCTAAGCAGTAAGACTAAAAGAAAATACTCAAATTCTGTAGAAACGGCTACTTGGCCAAAATACAGAAAGACAGAGACTGAAGGTGAAACAGATATTGGTGACAATCGTGACAAAAAAGAGAAGAAAATCCTCAAGGAATTGAAACTTAAACTGCAACAGTATTTAGAGTCTCAGCCTGAAAGTGCTGTTTTGTGTGATGTACCCAAGGAGGTGATTGCAGCCTTAACAATAGAGGCACTGCCTGCATTGCTTTACTTCCACCAGGTTCCAGAGTCAAGTCTCCCCAAGAACCTTGCTGAGCTAAGTGAATTCCTGCAGCCCTACATGACTGTCACCTACATGATCAACACTGAAACTCTTTTTGAGATGCTGATAGGGCCAGCAAGTCCTTGGATTAACTATGATAGTATGGGCCGTTCTCTGTCTTATGGCACCACAGGGCGTGGAGTTTCGTACAATGAGAGCGCTATGTTGGAAATCAAAGATGGGCAAATTGTGCAAAAAATTCCGGTCGATGGAGAATTGCTCTACAAAGTTCAGAAGAAGAGTGCACAAATGCCCTTAAAGTCACATAAACAACGTAAGCGCTTCAGAAATCAGAAGAGCAGAAAACAACCAAGAAGAAAAGGCTTGAAGATAAGATTAACATGTGTTAATGGAAAATCTGTCAGCACTGCTGTGAGTCAGATAGTCAGGCTAGCCCAGGCAAGAAACTCCACACTGCTTCTGTCATCTGATGTAACATCTGCAAAGGAACGAGTTCTGTTTTGGTTGAAAGACTTAAATAATAGCACCCTCTCTGCTTCATCTGCATGCATTCTAACTGGAGCGAGCTTGGTCACAAAATTGGTCCATCTTTGTACTGAATTTGTCGAATTGAGCACAGAGTCCATTGTCCAGGAACTGGTCAAGGAGGACTATCTGGCTGTCCAGGGGGAGAGGGTTCTATATTCAGGCACCACTACAGCCACCCCATCAGCAGGATTAAGTCTGGAGAAGAGCCTTCATGTCCAGTACTTAAAAGAACTGGATGACCGGTGTTTAAACAGAAAGGCTGGTGTGATGGACTTGATGTCATATGAGAAGTTTAAGGAGCAGCATGAAAAGCATGAGGAAAAGAAGGGAAAATGTAGATAAAGGTGAAAGAGATAGATTAAAGGTTTAATTGTGTCCTGTGAAAAGTGACAAAGAGAAGCAAAATATGCTAGTAGAAGACCCATAAATAGAGGTTAGGAGAGGTTCAAATGTAATAGACCATTATTTGATGAAAAAGTTCACATTTTTACTTATTAAAGACTAGCACCAATAAATGCCCTGGCTATGAGCCTAAGCAGTAAAATTAAGAGTAGCTCTACTTTTTACGTTTAAATTAAATCACATCATGTCTAAATATAAGAAGTAAGACAATGACTCAATCTTTTGAATGGGAAAAATTGTGAATTTTACAGGAACTGTATTTTTTCAACTCATTAATTCTTTAAAATGGAACATTTCTATTGAGTGATACATGTAACAACAAAATTGAAAAGCAGGCTTCTCTATAGTTTAATTCTGTACAGTAAAAACACGACAAATGGTATTATATATATATAACAAGCGTGCATGTGGTACTATATATACCAAAATTATGTACCTGAAAGATTGATAATTTTTCCCCATTGAAAAGATTGAGCTATTACCGTTTATGCATCACCAGTTGGACTTAATAATAATATTTAGTATTTATCACCCCTCCCACAAGGCTGGCCACATTTTTTAAATGTAAAATGGCTTTGACTTAAACCCAGTCTAAGCATACTTTAAGTTCTAGAGCAGGCTGGAAATGCCAGTACTAGAAAACAGCTCAAGTTTTAGTGCAGACTATATAATGTTGGAATTATTTTAAAGGAATAACAACTTCATTTTGGGCAAAAAAAAAAATGGATTTTCTAGGGGTAAATGACAATTTTCCCACACTTAGCAATGGTAAATGAATCCTTTCAACATTTAGTTAGTCCATATTTTTTTTTAAGTTTAATTTTTCGTAATAATCTGTTGAGAGATTATTGCAAAAGGTAGTCATCTATGGAGGTAAGGTGGTCCAATGGCAAGCACATATTCGCAAAATAATTGCGATAACTGCCGTTTTGGTGGTGAAATGGAATTTATTCTATTTCTGTGAGTTGTTTACCATGTATTTAATGTGAAATATGAATCTCATATGAAGAATTGTTATCCTTTTAAAGACCGATATTGTCATAATTTATTAACCATTGTTAACATTTTAAAGTATGTAGGATAAAAGGACTGATGGTTAATTTGTTACTGGTATAATCCTTGTCATATTAGCAATTGTAATTAGTGGTTTCGTTTTATAATGCAATGTTTTAATTTGTAAACACGTTACAGTAATTTTATTTGTAATATAATTGTTGATCTTTGATTGTTTTGATTTTCAAGATTTTGATAAATTTGATAACTTTTTTTGGTAAGACAATAACTATGATACACTCAGATAAGTTTCATGGTTTAAGTTGAGTCACTGTGGAGGTTATATCCTCTGGCACTTTCAGAAAAAACAACAGGAAGACTTATAATTGTATTTAATGAGTGCGTATGAAGGATGCCTTCCAGTGTTAATACAGTTAAAAAAAAAAAGAAATTAGTGACAGAAAAAAATGATTTTCCCATGTCGATATAACATACATGTGCACATCATTGAAAAATTAATAAAGATTGACTCTGATTTTGGAACTCTATACGACGGTTGTGTGTGTTACTTCCTGCCGACATCACTCATTGATATCTTCTCAGTGCATTTTTCCCATATATATCACCTGCGGAAAGCATATCAGGCAGGTGTTTGGCGACGTCGTCTCTCCAACCAAATAAAAAGAAGCAGATCAATCAACCCGATGAAGAACGGAGCAAGCGGCGTGAATTATTGTGAATTTTGGAACACATTGATCGATATCAGTATCTTCACTTGAACGCATAAGGCCCCTATTTCACACAGACCACGAATCCCACGAATCGCCAGGAATTGACATGGATTCGTGAGGATTTGTGAGATTTTGCCAATTTTCTGGTCTAATTCGACACGCTCACGATACAGTTACGATACAGTACGATAGTGTTACGAATTTTCGTGGGATCCGGCTGGAATCGTGAGATTTTGCCAATTTTCTGGTCTAATTCGACACGCTCTACGATTCAGTTACGATACAGGTGCGATAGTGTTACGAATATTCGTGGGATTCGGCTGGAATCGCACGAATATTGTCCAGAAATTCACTACGATATTTTGGAATCAGGAGTTCGTGACCAAAACTTTGAACAGCTCAAAATTTATGCCACGAAATTCCGATTGATCAAGAATTGCAAGAACTGACTACGATTAAATACAAATCTGTTAAGAACTTCTCGAACTGATTACGATTCAACCACGAATCCTGACATTTTCAATTCCTGGCGATTCGTGGGATTCGTGGTCTGTGTGAAATAGGGGCATCAAAGTTTTTGCCACCAATTCCTGTTGGTCAAGAATTGCAAGAACTGACTACGAATGTATACGAATCTGTTAAGAACTTCACGAACTGATTACGATTCAACCACGAATCGTGAAATTTGTCAATTCATTGCCATTCGTGGGATTCGTGGTCTGTGTGAAATAGGGGCATAACGCAGCCCGGACGACTCCCGAGGCCTCGCCTGTTTGAGGGTAATTGAT